ACACAGCAATAAAAGTAAATTGCACATTTTAACTTTTTTTTTGCAATAATAATGGTATGAAATTTATTCGTTGTACTTTTTTGCTGGTATCAGCATTATTTGTTTCAATTTAATGCATTTATAATTTTTTGAAGCATAAATTTGATGCCACACCAACAGGCAACAGCCATGACCACTTGAACGAACATGATTATTATCACTGACGAAGTAAAAAAAAATGTATGCTTTGATGAAAATTGATTTCAACTAAAGCCGAAACTCATTTACAAAATCGCATTTCGCATTTTTTTTCGCTCGATTTTAAAAATGCATGAGAGATACTTCATAAAGTATTTTTAAAAGAGGTAATATATTTATAAATTATTGGAGTTTCACAATTGCAAAAATTGCATTTATAACATCTGTTCATCCGCATTAAAATTAAGGACATTCAAGAAAAAAATTCAGTGTTTTGGGCTTGCGAATAAAATTAAAAGGATATTAGGTCATCGTAAATGAATTGAGTATTTTGAGTATTTCCACACCGCATTCGACATTCATTGGCATATAAATTGATAAAAATTAATCAGGTCATTGCATTAATGTTGTTATTTACAACATGACCTTCTTGCAGGTGATAAAGATCTAGTCGGAGAAAATTCTGTCAACTGAATCGCCGTAACAGACATCGATCAAAAAATCGTAACCATGGCGTGCGTGTTAAAAATGAAAATGGAATACATGACATTTTTTGTGTGCCAGTAAATATAATCTCCTTACAATTTTGCATTCGAGATGGTTGTGTCTTTTGCTCATTTCATTGAACTGCAATGAAACGTTTTCAAAAGTTAAAATAAAGACGCTTCATCCGCTTATCTCTTAGCTTGATGCTTTTTTTCTTCATTTCTCATACTGATTTCTTTTTTGTTGAACACAACAGCGGAGAATGAGAAAAGTCGAAAATGATATTAGATGATGGCGTCTTCAACGCTGCTTTGGATTGAAATGAAAATCGGATATGGTAAAAATGGTGTAGCTCTTGGTCGAATAACGTTGAAAAAAAATGGTGTTTTTGACAACATTTCAAGATGGTTTGTGCGCGCGTCCGCATCACACGCTCAACGAAAGAAAAATTGTTTTCATATTGTCTGAAAGAGAATATAAATGGATTTCAATCGCTTATTATTAGCGTTTCATTGGTAAGCATTTTTCAGTTACGAAAATGCCGCTCCGTTGAACATTGAACGGCAAACTTTGAGCTAACACACACAAATACTTACCATTAGAAGATAAGACACGAATCACTTTCACCTCGCCAACACTCCTCTCGTTCACTTTCTCACATTCTCTTTGCTTTACGTTGAAGTGCTCGTTCAAGCGATTGTTTTCGAAAATATGCGCTTGGGCTAAATAATCCTTTTTAGCGTCGAATGTTTGAAAACTTTTCAATTTCTTTTTAGATATTCATTTGAAAGTTGCTCTGAAATAACAAACTTAGGGTGATTGCACATAAATATTTACATTTCATGTGTGTTTGTATGAATTTCAACAACGGCGAAGAAAAACAATTTGCGCTAACGATCAATTTCCATCTGACATCGTGTGCATTCACAACAAACATTGTTCACGTTAGTTGTATTGTATACGTCGGTTTCATATCTGTTACAGTGATCATATTTACAAAGCAAATATAATTTGAAAGCCGGTGAGACGCCTCTCTGTTACGGATAAATGATGAATGGTTACGATCCAAGCGAGAGTTATTGAATTTTTCTCCTTGATTTATTGTAATGATTTGAGAAGCGGAAAAGAGAGAGCGAGAGGGAGAGGGAGTGAGTGAGTTGGAGAGTAAAAGTGACGAGAAAGAACAATAAGACCTTTTTCCTATACTTTTAATATATGTGACAAGGTGAAAAGAAATATTTTTTCGTCAGTGGCGTCGCCTAACGTGTTGGTTGACAATGCCAATGGCAAACCAGTGAATAGCTGTAAGTCGAACAATTGTGAAATCATTCGCACTAATACATACTAACACAACGAACTTCGTTTTTGTGTGCGCCACACTTAGGTGCTTGTTGTGTTTTGTGTATTGATGTGAATTGCGACTCAATTACAGTAGACGGCGCAACGAACAAATTTTTTTAACTTTTCTCCAAAAAACGTCAACTGAAAGGTCTTTCTGAGAAAGAAAACAATATGAAAATGAGCTTTTTGAAGAAGGCAGATTATCCATGTTTCCTTGTTAAATGGTAACCTTTATGGTGATTGAACGTACGAAATGAATAGATATTTCATGAATACACACACAGACATGAATTCAAGATGTCCCATTGCACATAAAGTCGTAGCGTGTGTTGCACTGAAATTGTCTCATGTAATCATACAAATATTTCAAAGTCAAATCAGGTTTTTGAATAAAATTCAATTTTCCTGTAAGTTCAAAATGCGAGTGATTTGAAGTGCTCAAGCTCCCAAAGGAAAGCTCATCATCATTATCGTAACATCCATCAATTTGATATTATTGAAGAACCTGCCATTTTTTTTGCAAGCGTAACAGCCTAATATTTTGCTCTTCTTTGTTTACACAGTTTCTCATTTCATCGTTCATCAAATAGCTTTTCATATTCAAGTACGTATCTATATACGTATATCAAATTGATCAGGCTAGCCAATTTAAATTTCTATTATCGTACGCCATATTTTGCATCGCAAACTCTGTGATGAATTACATAGGAAAAGTATTGAGGTGGTATTCAATTGGTCTCATGAAAAAAAAATTGTATGCGCTTTCGTTGCAGAAAATGTAGCAAATGCCATAGTGCGTACCATGACGGCATGATAAAAATGTAAATCGTTGAATTGTGGTGTCATTTCTGTGCTAGTGTAACTTGGCAATGGTTGTACAAACGGAACAAACATGAGCATCCTCCCTTTTTTCGATTAAGTCAACAATAGCACGTGTATCAAATTGGATAAATTGAATGATAACGACGATTATACAGCGTAGTGCTTTCTCTCAATAAGTAAATTAATATCAGTCTCTGTTGTCTCCAAATACAATGATGCAGCAAATTACTTCGTGCACAGTATCAATTCACATCGTTTAAAATCAATGTTTTTTTTTTCGAGCACATAGTATCATCCAGATGCAACAGTAACTGGAGTATATACAAATCGATATGATGTAAAACTGTTTACAACATCAACAGCAACGACAAAAACTTAGAAACAAAAACAATTTGGTCTCTTATTGTGTTCATCTTTTTTTCTGCAGCAAAGCTTCATCTCGATTGGTTGATAAAAGACTTTTATCATCCCCTTCGTAATTTAGTACGAAAAAAATGAGTAGAAGTGAAAAAAGAGCACGCGATTACTGCGCAGTTGACACTCATATATTCGAGCACACAATCCAGGAAGTTATCGTTGCCAACGGCAAGTAGTTGGTTAAATTGATGACTCAATAAAAAAAAACCGAGTGTGCTACATTTTTGAAGAACATAGTTTCGAGTGCAATTCACACCAGCCAATTATTGTTTTCAAACGCGTTCTTTTTTTCATTGCTTATTATACTCAATTGATCATTTAATTTTTTATTGCGTATCTTGTGTCTACTTTTGTCATCGTTTTTTTTTCGCGTTGCCTTGACGAACCGGCATCAATAAAAAGTGTCACACGTCTGTGTGTGTTGTTCGTTTATGATTTTCCGTGTTCGATTTCACATTGCCGATTCGATATGAAATGGAAAATCGATCAGGGTGATGCATTATCTCTTCATATCTTTTGTTGATTATTTTTGAAGCGCAGAGCATTATGATGTTTCCCTTCATATTTGAGTATATATTATTGTTATTCTAGTTGTGCTGATCAATCAAACATAGTGATAAGATGCTCACGCTCAAACTAATGACAATAAATATTGTCACATTGATGAGAATAAAGTGATCCGATGAAAGCAAAAACGCTTGCAATTTGTGAATTTGAATGACGCACTTCATTATTATGAACGATGGTTTTCATCAAATGAACATTAATGCAATGAACATTGATAAAAACGAAAAGCGAGAGACATGAAAATAGAAAAGAAATATGGAAAGTAACTTATTTTAAAAGCGAAAAATTGATGGATAAAAATTCCGTTTGAAGTGAGCAATCATAATAATTTGTAATATGCGCGACGTGAACACGAAAAGCGACTATTTTATCTAATAAAATTGCAGATGAAAGCATGAAACGCACCGAAGAAACGAAATGAAAATATATATATATTGAGTAAAAATCATTTTTCCATCTAGCTAATAGCCGATTTAAATCAATTTTTTTATCGATGACGTGCGCTTTGTCGAGCGCAATTTTCTATGAATAAGAAATCGAGCACAAAACAATCAGCCATCATTGAAAAGCGGAACCAGTTTTTTCGGTTCCATTTCATTTTACGCTGTTCATTTTTCGCCATCTTTCATCATCATTGTCATTATTGATAACCAATAAAAGCACGTTTCAGCCATTTTTACTTCGATGAAATTCATTGCTTGAATTTGTCATGATAGCATTTTGTTGTACTATCCAAGTCCACGATATTGACTATCATTTAAAAGAAATGCGCTTCATCCACATCACGCTCTTACGAGATATTATAGTATAAAAAATTTCACATATATTTTCGGTCGAAAGAAAGCTGAGCATTTATAACGTTAGCGAATGGAATTGCTAAAGGAAGCCATAAACTTTGCCAATAATTCACGTTAAAGTGACAAACAGCTGCGAAAATTGTCTGATATTACCAAACCTAGCTCACGAAACCAATATGAAGTATATTCCATTGAAAATGGACATGGTGTCGACAATGTGTTCTCCTCTTCAATAATGTGAAAGAGATGAAAAGTATTTTTGCCCATAAATTTACTGTCTTCAATTGAAGTTTTTGAATGAAACTCTTAAAAATACGCATAAAAATCGATCCACAAAATTGTATTAATCAAAATTTACAAAAAGAATAAAAATAATGGTGGAAACACACTTACCAGAACATAAACGGCAAATGGCATAACAACAACAGCCACCAGAAGATCAGCTATAGCCAAACTAACTATAAAATAATTTGTGACCGTTTGCAGCGTTCGTTCACGATATACCGATAGTATAACCAGCACATTGCCGAACAGCGTCAAAATCGGAAATATTAGCAAAATTAATGCCCAGTACTGTTGTGGCTGTGGTGCTGAATCGGCTATCGTGTGTAAAGTAATGGGTACAGGCGGCGACAGAGAAAGAAAAAAAACGAAAAAAAAGATATATATTAAAAACTATGGAAGATGAATGCTGAGAGAAATTATCATTAGTGTTGGCATTGAAACGCATCCACCCTCGTGCAATGCATCCTCATCAATTTCGAATTAAGTGTAAAATTTACCTAAAGGCTCGTTACACGTTGAATTAGGATAGGAGCAATTTTGCGGATCGAATGCGATGCTGGTGTTTGGATTAAGTGTAGAGCCCGTTGTACCGATACCGCTGCCAACGCTGCCATTATAGTTGTAAAAATACGAACTAAAATCCTCCACTAGAAGCATAAAATTACTTCCGCTATCGTAATTTGATTTGTTACTATGCGGTTCACTACCATAATCGTATTGGTATTGATATTGAAATGTTTGATTAATCATTGTGACTGATGATGATGCTGGTGGTGGCAGTGGCGAAAACATTGTACCATTATTACTACCCATGCCATTTGCTAAACTATTTCGAAAAAAATCGAAACTCCCAAAGTTCAAATTGTTTCGATTCGCCACGTTGTTGGAAGTCAATGCTGCACCACCTGGAATTCGATTCGTATCAAGAATTCGATTCGTATCAACTCTAACACCACCACCGTTGCTGCCGCTGTCGCCACCACCACCGATGTCATCAAACAATTTGAAATAATCTGGGGAATTCCAGTTTGAATTCGTTGAATAGTTGGCCATTGCAACGCGATTGATGCGGTTTTGCTTACTTTGTCACAAACACACGAACTCACTCGTTGCTTTTTTCTCACCACAAATGTCTCTTGCTAGTTACAAACAAACAAAAAAACACAACTTTTTTAGTTGTTACTATTACTATGGATTTGTAGCATTTAAGCATTTGTCCCTTGAGTACATTTTGTCTTGAATGTGTTCTCGTTTTTCTTTGAATTTTCTCTGTGTGTGTGTTATTTCCCGTTTATTTTGCCACTGTAAGTTCACGATACTATTGATTGATTACTCCGTAAAACCATATAGTCGACGACACAAAAACAATTCACATACTCACTTTTATTTTACTTGTTTGAGCAAAACAATTTCCATTTACTTTGACAGACATAAAATAAACTTAAAACTCTTTCATTTCTTGTTGTATACACACAAAATGCACAGAAGAACAAGGTAAGGAAATTGCTTTTTGGAAAATTGGAAAAATACCGCAGTTTCAATAAATTGACTTAATGCATAGTAAAACTAAACGGTCTGTTTGTGTATGTATGTGTGTGTGTGCGAGAGAGAGGAAGACCGAGTAAAATAGAGAAAACGATGAATACGAAGACGCGAAAAACACACATCAATTCCGAACATATTGAATAGTTTGTTTTTTCTTTCGTTATATTCACCGTTGTTATCGAACTTTCAAATGATGTTTTACGTTCTATTGAAATGTTGCATTTGCCAAATAAATCGAAACAAATTAAAACGTAAATCAAAAACGGCATGAATGAAAAGTTTTCGTTGTCGAACATGTACCGCATACGAAAACAGTGCCTTCCAATTTTCAATCGTATTTTCACTGTATCGTCTGTATTTCTCTCTGGCTTCGCTATTCTCGTCTAAGTTTTCGGTATTCTAAAGCAAACGGTTCAATTTTCATTACATCACCGAATGCGTTCAGTGTGAATGCAAAAGCTCTGGTGTGTCAATTCATGTTTCAAAAACAGGATTTATTTGTTTCGGTTGCGGTGGTGCGAATAACACTAGGATTAGTTGAAGATAGTGTGGTGCGAATAACACGGTGCCAATGATGGTTGATCTCAGTTTCCGCTATCCTGTGAACCTGTGTTGAAAATGAAATAAAATGGAATGAAAAAAAGGTAGAATAAAATCTTCACGCATTTTTATAGCATAAATATCTCAACAATGGTAATGATAATGTGCAATTACTTAAATCTATATGCATCAAATAAACAGTCTTTGCCATTGTCGAAAACGACGCAGAGACGAACGAAGAGAACGAGGAGTTGAAATGTATTCGAACGAGATGGGAGTTGATTATGAATTTCACCCACATCAATTTTAAAATTACTCCATAGAAAAATTTAATAAAAACATTTTTTTTTTGTTTATTTAATCACAGACCCGCATCAGATCGCAGGTCGTCGCATGTGGTTTTATTGTTGCAAATACCTATCTCTCTGTTGCTTTCTCTCCCTCACATCTCCTCTCTACCTCAAAATGAATGAAAACGAGAATCAGAGCAAGCTTGATGATTGATGCTGGCAACATAAGTATTCACCGCAAATGTTAAAAGTGAACAATATTCCTTTTGTGTTAAAACGCATGGAGCCGTTCAAAGTCAGTATCGACTGAAACATCGAAATTTGTGGTGTTCATTTACGATTTCATAATTTTGTCGTAAAAAGACTATAAAAAATGTTGCGTATTATTCGCGGTCGGGTGGGCAAAGAAACAAAAAAAAACACAAAGAGCGTACAGTGCTCTGCTTACTGTTGCATAAATCAAAACGCGCTGATGGGAATGATGCAGCATTTTCATGGTCAATCTGATTGGTCTAGCTCTCATATTTTCCGGAAATTTAATTTTCCAGCAAAGAATCTCTCGTGAGATTTGGCTGCCGATAACTCAACTTTCCCAAAGAAGATCGTTCAGTGTGTATGTGTGTGACGTTAAGTTTTTGAATTGTTAAAGTCACTTGCGTATTTGCATGGGGAAATGTATTCATTTTTCTTTTTATTTTCATAAAATATGTGAAGCATGACGCCATCTTAAGAAATAATTTGCTCAATGATTGCTCCCACATACTTTCGAGTGAATGCTTTGTTGTTACTTTCTTTTTTTTATTGAGATATCTCTTTTACTCTTTCGAAAAAGAAGTGAATAATAAAAAAGGGAGTAGAATTTTTTTTTCGAGATATAATACTATAATATGCTTGAATTTATTTACAAAGCGTGAGAAATTTCACGGAAATCCCTTTGAGCATGGAAAATATACACATCTCAAGTGAGAATCTCACTGTGAGATACGTATATTGTTTTCTTTTCAATGTGTTGCCAAATTGCACGCATTTTTTTCAAACTAAACGACAAAGCATTGGCGATTTATCTCAAAATTCCGAAAATCTGGCTTTTTTGTTACAGACTCAACCGAAATAAAAATAAATCAGTAAAATAACTTTGAATTTCTCAAAAAAATATATGATTTAAAAATATGATTTGGAGAGTTGTAAACGTCACATTTTCATGTATAAAATAATACGGTCCATTTATGTCTCTCTTTTTTTGTAAATTGCTAACTATAAAAGGCTGGATACATACTATGATATAAAAGGGTCGTGATTGTGCAACGTTATATTACGAAAGTATAATGTCCTCACATGAGTGGTGTTTTTGTGTGTGAATGCGTCACATATCTATTGGTGCTGTGAAATAACATGAGCACATACGAAAGACGAAAAAAAATAAAAAAAAACGAGAAAAGTCGACCAGAGAATATAAATTTCCATTGAAACGAGCAGCGACATCGTGTAAGATTTATCATCGGCGAGATTTCATTTGTTACCGTTTGAAGTAGTGAAAATAAGAATGTGCTTGGCATAAGCTAAGATATGGTGGTCGCGTGATAGTAACAGGAAACGGAAATAACTATAGGAGTACCCAAACTAACGAAATGTGCTCTTTTTTTCGTGTGTATCGCCAGCGTGCTATACCGCGGCAATGATGTGTGTTTGTGTGTAGGATGACAAAGACGATGAAAATTGTGTGCGGTATGCGGTGGAATGTGATGTTGCACAAGGGGCCGGGGCGAATGTATAATAAAACAAGAAAAAATACTTAGCACAATCTTTTGATACTCGCTCCAAAGCACATGCACTTCAGCACAATGATATATTAGCGTGTGTCGTCTCGTTATTGTGTGTATGTGTGTGCTTCGGGTTTTTCAGTTTTTATTCCGTCTTTTCATTCGGCGCTCTTTTCCTATTCTCACAAGCGATCGCTCTCTCTCTCTCTCTCTCTCTCTCTCTCTCTCTCTCTCTCTCTCTCACTACCCGCCTATGTTTTCTTGCTTTGAGTACTGTAACTTTATAATTTTCCCTTCATTCTATTTGTCGCTCCATTCGCAACATTTGAATGCATTCCATTCAACATCGTTACATGGCTAACAGCGACAACATTTTATTATTCTTGTACCGACGAATAAAATATATATGGTTCACATATGTTCCGCTCAATGTGCTCGTCAAGCAATATGTGCACACATTCACATAATTTTTATTTTTGCTTGACGCTCTCACGATTGCTGCTTTCTTCCTTCGACTCTCTCTCTCTGCTCCACTCCCCATATCTCGGCAATTCGATTTTTTGCAACGCAAGATATGTTCAAATATATTTTTTCCTACTTCGGTTTATGCAACATTTTGTTTCACTTTTTTGTTATATTCCGGTTATAGGTAGGTTTTTTTCATTTTCTTTTTCCAATAAGTATGTGTACTGTTTTGACAATCGAATTCATTTCAAACGGTTTTTATTTCGATTGTTCTATATTTCGTGTGGCATATGTAAAGTCAATTGCCGTTCACTCGATTTTTTCATCTTATTTTTTCGAGAACGTTTCGCATTTTGATTATTTTCCTTTCTTTTGTTCCAAATCAAATAAAAAGCAACTTATGATATACAAGCGTAGGTACCGCAAGTATATTTAACATAAAAATATGGTTAACATTCTGGTCTATTAGACTAAGTGACATATAATATATGCCGAAATTCAATGAGCAATGCAGAATTTTTCTGATAGAGAGAATGAGAGCATATTGTGCGTGTACCCTTTATTCCATGACGCAATATACACACGGTTGAACCACAGCAACCGTGTAGCAACAGGACCCAATCGAGCTAAAATCACAAAAAACGGCTGGTGCGTCTCTGTCAGTATGCTTGTGAATGAACACATTTTCAGTAACATAAGCTCTCTTTGTGTAACTTTGTATGGTAAAAGTGGCTTTTGTTATGAAATGTATCCTAAGATCCTATTTTGCGCAACCTTCCCTTCTATCGCTCGTTTCTCTCACTCGCTTCCTCTTTTTCCTTCTTCCGCTTATCGTTCTGGTGTGTTTATATGTGTTTTTTTTTGTTCTCATTGACTGCAATGTGTTGCCTCACACGAAATCACTCGGTTCGGTAACATCACGTATTGTTTTTCTCAATGCGAACACCGAAACGGAAATTCTGTCAAGCAGTCACGTTATTTATGCATGTCTGTTTGTGCGACCGAGTGCCTCACCTATTCAAACTAAAGTTTCTGCATTACCTTTTTTTCTCTTTGGCTAACTTCTCCCAACACACGCCAAAAAAGCGAATCAAGAATACTAGTAAAACGAAGCAAATAACAAACCTGGAAACGTAAAACGAAAACTGACATAGAAGTATACGGAAAATACAATGCAATCATCGAGCGCACACATAAAAGGTTCGGACAGTTGCTTACTCTTGAGAATAGTGACAGCATATTAACATATAAATGCACATGCCGTTCACCGTTCATAACGATGCAATGCAAAAATTGATGAAGACAAAATGGGGGCAACGAGCAAAGAATTAAGCTCGAACGATGCGCAAGTATCTACTCTTAAATCTTTTTTCTTGTCTTCTATTTTCTTGTTTATTTTTCGCAAAGTTTTATACAATAGATTCAAGAGTGTTTGGATAGAAATGGACGAGAATTTGCCGAAATTACAGGAATTATTTCAAAACTTTTTGATAACAATACAATAATATTCTGTCGTTTCAATGTTAACATTCTTTGACAAGTTAGAAATTATCAAATGATTCAGACTGGAATGTAGGAGTGAACAATTTTTAATTAAAATATTTTGACATTTAGCAGAAAATGAACGAGAATTTGTCGTTTTTTTTCCACAACGAAATACGCCCATTTAATATCAGCAGAAAATATGATAAACGAAAAGAAAAAGGTGGGCATTCCCACTTCCTTTTCCTGTCTAACTAATGATTTCACCATGATGATCCGCAAAGTGGAATTTGTATCAAAGCCAAAGAAAAAAAAATCTTCTTCAAGAAAGCAAAAATGTAGAGCGCTCAAATGCCAACGATGTAATGAAAATGGTATTATAAAGTCAAAACATTGCTCGCTTAGTCGATGACATGAGAAAATCATTAACATTGTTATAAGCTAGATGCTGACTCACTAAAGAATGTAATATTCATATTTTTCTCCACTAACAAGAAACAGTATTTGCTGCAAAAATAAAAATTCTTCTTGACAATTTTGTGGGGATTTTGTTTTGGTGTTTGCTCCTGTTGCAAAAGCCAACAGAAATGCGAAATGTGCTCTTCGTTCATTCAGTCTTTGCTCCCGGGTATATATCTTTTTCGCCTCGGATTTTTACATTTCACACATTTTAAATACAGTGTAACTTTTTGTATCACATTGCATGCAGCGCATTTTTACTTTGACACATGCAGACACACACACATATATACATGTAACAAGTTTACTCATAATAAGTTTCAAAAAGGTAGAAAAACCGATGCAATTCCCAGCAGAAAATTTCCAGAAATGAGATAAAATTACATTTTTGATTGAACAACAAAAGAACACCAACCGATGCAGATGTAATAATACAAACATTTGAATATTTTTCTTCAGAAAGTTGAGCAGTCGAACCTTTTATTTCATTTGATTTTTCTCCTCCACGAAAAAGAAACATTCAAAAATCATTAAGCTTACAAGCAGTTAATGCGTCTAAAATTGCATTTCCAACACGATTTTGTTTTTGTTTCATCAAGAATAAAATGAAA